TTGTGCTGGAGCCCAAACCGCTGGTCTAAACCTCTGGTCCCGGTGACCGACCCAGATTGGGTTCTGAAACATTATCTTGAGACATGTATATTTGCCATCATGTGTGTGAATCTTTTTGGGAAATCATGTCAATGGGAGATTGGAAATAGTTAAGAAAGTTATTTTTATAAACCTATCACAACTTAATTGAAGAAATTGTCTATTATAATAATTTCAGTATGTAGTTTCAGCGTCTTTAGGTAAGGATAGCCATTTGATGCATGGTACATGAAACAGACTTTAAAAAGGATCTATAAGCCCTCTGGATTGTGCTCCAGCAGTGTTAGGCAAAATATACTACTAAAAAAGATTTCTGAGACTTAACAAGACAATACAGTAATTCAGAATTTATTAGGTATGGCCAATTTATTATCTCAGTTAAGAGCAACTGAAGCCACTGCACCGGTTTTAATTAGTAAAAATTCATACTTGCCATAAATATCCTTGGGTTTTCAGGGAAAAGGTTAGGGCAATCAGAATTCCCAAATAATTTTAAGGTGAACATCAGCACAAGAAAATATTTTTGTTGTGTGACTGCCATTTGATAGACAAAGTTGGGTATATACTGGTTTTCTATATTCCCAGCTACCTCCTGAAAACTACATTACTAGATGCATGCTTCTGAAACAAAGTTGTAAAACCAGGCTGAGAAAAAGATTAAATAAAGGTTAATCAAACAACAAAAATTACACAGTGGTGTTGAAATATTACACGTCTTTGCAATATTAGTACTATATATGAAGACTGCATTTCACTATAATTCTTTCTCAATAGAGTGATTTTCCTATGAAGCTGCCTAAATCATTTATAAATTCTCATGAATCATGAATCCAGCCTTTAATGAACAGGAAGAATTTAATCTTCACCAGATATCTTCCAATTCACATTTTTAATACTAAATCCCCGCAACACCCAACGTTTTCACTAGAGGTCTCAAGATATCCACCTTCTCCAGAAAAGAAATGTTTAATTTCATACTATCCAAAATATATAAGCAAGTAAGTAAAAGAATGATACAAGGTTTTGTGTGAAATATATCTGAAAGTGAGTAAGCTTAATTAAATACTTAAGCTTAAGTAAAGTAACTTTAATTAAATATTTTATATGCAGCACAAGGCAGTACAGGACACCAGATGCCTATCAGTAAAACACACAGTAGGATCAGCTTGTCATGAACAATCAAGTGTGCATTGCATCTTAAAAATAAAATCTGAATTGAAACCATAAATATGTTTAGTATAATCAGAGAGATTATACTAAAAGAAAAGCATAATAAAAAGTATCACAATCTACTAGAATTTAAACTGATAGGAGCACAACATTGGAAAAGTGAAATTTTAGCAACTACATAGGAAAGAAAGACCCAAACAAAAAAAAAATTGAGAGATCAATGAAAAATATCAAACTATTTAAATAAATATAACCATTAATCTCAAATATTTCAAGAAAAGGAGAAATATTTAAGCAATGATTAAAATTTTTTTAAAGGTGGGATTAATGTTTTATTTTTATTTTATTTTGTTTCAGTTAACTCTACCTGCACTATTTTTGGCTAACAGCTTGAAGAACATAAAGTGATTGTCTATAACATAGTTTCATATTTTAATAAAGTGTGCACCACATCACATCACAATTGTGCACAATCTGCATAGCATGTTTTCTACAAGAAGCTCAGATTATATGTATGTTTCACATGCTAGAATTTTATCCTTCCATATATTCTGTAAAATAAATGCCACTCTGGGAAAAGTAATCAGCTGAAGTTTGCTGGATGAACTTCACAGCTATGTAAGAATTTGAGCAGGACACCTGTTATATCTCTTTGCTGAACCCTTCCTCCCCTTGCACTGTTTATACAGCAGATATTGTTTATAACACAAATCATAAAATACCTCTTTGACATGTTATACCAGTTTCATAACAGATTTAGACAAATCAGGAGTTGGCCACTTACAATCCCTAGAATTTTAATTTCAAAGCTCTTTTAAACAAGATTAGTTCAGAATTCATTTAGAAGAAATATTTTGTCCCTGAAGCCACTTGTTTGTAGGACAGCAACCCATAGGTGCCTATTGAAGGACCAGGCCAGGCATGCTTGGTCAGCAATGGGAGAAAGAAGATGGTGAAGGTCAGTTAGGGTATCAGGAGCCATGAAGTGCAGGAGACCAAAAGGGGAGGGAAAATGGAAGCCTTGCAATTGTATATGCAGGCTGCCAAGCATCCAAACGTTGATTACATGACTGTGGGGGAGCTGCAATGACCATAACTTTAGACACAGATCATAAGTCCCTTTGTTCAGTGCTGCTATAACTTCAAACAGTTGAATGAATGGTTGTAAACCAATAGCTATCCATGCCTTGTCTTTGCAGCCAGGTAAATAAACCAGGCTGCTGGAAGTGATGAATAGTAGAGGCAAAGAGACTGACGGGAGGAGAGAAGGCCCCGAAAAAAGTGAGCCCAGGAATCTGCCCCTGCTCTCTTATTTGCAGACAATTAAAGTTAAGACAAATTCTACCAGTTTTTTGGAACCATTCATTTGTTTCATCCAAATTTTAAGGGAGAGGTAAATCTAAGCAGCCACAAACATAAAAACCCAACACTGTAGAAAGATGGCTTCCTTTAAACCAGTGGTTCTCAACCTTCCTAATGCCGCGACCCCATAATATAGTTCCCCATGTTGTGGTGACCCCCAACCATTTATACATCACCGGGTGCCAGGGGCGTGGCCAAAGAAAAGGGGGAAAAAATGGCGGACAGCCTTGTTTGGCGACCCCCATGAAATGGTCATTCGACCCCAAATGGGGTCCCAACCCACAGGTTGAGAACCACTGCTTTAAACCAAGAAGGAAAAATATCAGTTTGTCTTTCTTGAGTGGCTCTCCACAATTTCCTTCTCCTTCCTACAATTGTTCAGGATGCCTTACTTTCTAGTATGTAAATGATCTGCTCCAAACTGATAACATTTTCTCAATGGGAATAACTTATGGGAGGTGATAAGCATTTTGGTAGCAGGATAAAGAGAGTATATGGCTGTGCCCTCAGAGAAGTATGGAAAAGAGAATGGACAAAACCACACATTTGCTAACAAGTGTTTTGAATTATACCTGTGTGGTACCTTGAGGGTTTCTCTAGTATTTCAATAGCATTGAATTATCACATGGGCACAGAAACATCTCACTGTGTTTAACCTGTGGCTTATATCATTTGAAAATAGGTCTCTCAGGAAAACATTCCAGGAAAAGCAAGCAAACAAACAGTTTTTTTCATATATGGTTAACATTAGGATGGTCATAAACTGCAAAATTTAGTTAGAATCTAATTTGGAATCAACCAGCTTGCTTTTAACTGATTCTTAGTTCAGAAATCCAAAGTGTGATGCCTTGGTATTTTAATATTTTGTCCAGAATTATTGTAGTTTTTCTTCAAGATGTATCTTTACCTCATGGTTACAATTAACAGCTCTGTGAATTTTTGCAACTACATTATGAAGATTAATTCAGCTATAACCTCTTCTTCCAGTCATCAAAGTGGCATACCACTTCCTTTCAGGTTGTTGAGGTTTCTCCCAGAAGTTTTAATTCCAATTTCTATTCTTAATCCAGTAATCTTTGTTGCTTTCTGCTTTTAAATTAATAACAGGGAAATATACCACCTTGGAGGACTGCTTTCTTTTCAACCATTCAGCTGCTCCATATACCAATCCAACTGTTACTTCCTGGTCATCATTCAAAATCTTCAATAAGCAGATGGGGTGTCTAGTACGCCCATGTTTTAAGGACTATCCACAGATTGTTGTGATTTTTCAGTCAAAAGCTTTAATATAATGCAACAAAAATAAATGTCTTACAGGAATTACTTTCCCTTTTCTATTTTCCATCCTTTAACCTATGAATCCCCCCAGCTTATACATCTGGCAGTTCACATATTGTTGAGGTCTAGATTGCAGAACTTAGAGCATTATCTTATGAGTGTGTGAAATAAGAGCAATTGTTTGAACATTTTCTAATAGGGTCATTTATGGAATTTGAATATTTATTTATTTTGCAATATTTACGGCCTGCTACAAACAGGCTGTAGGTGAGGTACAACAAAGAAATATAAATGGATCTTTTCATTGTTATTCATATCTGCTTATAATTCACAAATAGCATTGAAACTGCATCATCTTATAAGATTACAAGGTAGGCCTAATAGCCACTATCAACATTCCTTGTAGATAGCTGCTTACTAGTTTTGCTGGGAAAGGGATTAGAATCCACAACAACTCTATACAAAAAAACTGGTTTCCCACTTTTAGAAAGGAGCAGAAAACCAGAATTTTATTTACCTTCAGTCAAGAGATGATTAATCAACAATTTGGCAGGATCAGCATGCAACCATGAACTACATTTTTGTGGCTAAAAGCCACACGTGGTCACAGGCTTTGCCCTCAAGAAGGAAAGTTTTTAAATCACTAAATGATATTTACTGGAATACTTCTTAAAACTACATTAACACAAGATTGGAGAGGGTAGAAGGTTGAGTTGGACTGGGTTGAGAACTATGGAAGAAAAAAAGTCCACATTTGTCTCCCCAGGACAGTATATCCCTATGGGCAAGGCAGTTGAACAATGAATCAGAATTTTCCAGTTCGCCATTCTACAACAGGCATATCCTTTCTACACATGTGGCCCAGAAAAGAGCTATTATTAAGGGGTCTGAAGGAATTCCATAAGCTCTACTCTATATTGTTTCCCTATCCCAGGGGTAGGCAACCTTGGCTCTTTTATGACTCGTGGACTTCAACTCCCAGAATTCCTGAGTCAGGAATTCTGGGAGTTGAAGCCCACGGGTCATAAAAGACCCAAGGTTGCCTACCCCTGCCCTATCCCAACTGATCTCTTCAATATTATGAGTGAAGTTATTTGGAAAGAGGGGTTCATATAACTTTTATAGGCTGATTAAGGACTATAATATTATACCTGTCCAGTGTATGCGAAGTCCAGAGCTTGCTTTAAACCTATTCCTGTGATGCCATGTAAATTCACTTCATCTGCACAACTTTCAACCATACAAAGACTGAACATTGCCTAAGGGAAGAAATAAAATATTTATTCATTAAAACTGTTATGCACAACATCCATGTTAAGAATCAGAAAACAATGGTGGTTCTCTTGCTAGTCCTTAAAAAAAGACTTTTGTTAAACATGGACTGGCTCCCAAATAGCACAGAGGTTTCTATTCATATTGCAAAGACCAGGCAAAGAGATTATCTCTGTAATTTTTCTTTTCTCCTTTACAATAAACCTCTGTGTCTTTTGGAAAGTTGCTTTGGAAGGCTGGAAAAATACACAAGACACTGTATGAAAAAAACAACAACGATGAAAAGCTTAGAGCAGAACTTGTGGTGCCTTTTATAAAACAACGGAACAGTTCCCTTCAATCTGGATCTAATCCAATGAAGTTACTAATCAATATTCTATAGCTTCAAGGGAGTCAAATTTTGGAGTTACATTTTGTTTTATTATTACATTGATATTCTTCCATTTCTGTAGGAGCTTAAAACCGTGGACACAACCATTTTACATTTTAATCTGTCATTAAGCCCATAAAGAAGGCTAGGCAGAAAGATGATGAATTTCAATCTAAGTACTCAATCTGCTGGATCTGAGTGTCCCCAGTCCTAACCTGACATTGGTTTCACTGTACATGGCCAGAAGATTGCTCTATTGAAAGTATTAAGGGGGGGGTTGGTCCTTTTTGCAATTTTACTTTTTAATCATCAGAAAGGAGGCATGAGAGCACACTACCTTTCCTATATCAGAGTAGTGGGATGCCTACCGGTTGAGGCACTCCTGGAAGATGGGCGTTGACAGCATCTCTTTTGTTTTAAAAATCTTACTGAGCCTTAGCAATCTAAACTTAAATATCTACCTTTGCTCGCAGTGGCATATTCATTCATCTACACAACTACAAAAGGGCTTTTAACAAATTAAAAAACAATATTGTAGCAACTCTACGAAGGGCTCCTAAACTACAAGGTCTCTGCTGGCTGGGCATAAACGTACAACTGCACATTTCCTTCCCACCTAAACAGTATTCTTTTTTTCCTGGCTAAGCAATGTCTGCACAAAGCCTTAATCTACACCCACAAGGCTTTCTCATGCACATAAGGTGTTCCAGCTTGTGAAAAAGCCATAGCAAACTACTCCCACAACACTGCGCCTAAGTGAAAACCTCGCACTGAAGGACAAGCTGTGTTTTTGCAAACATTGATAATGCTGTTGGATATCAGGAAAGCAACATATGCTATTTCTGGCACCACAATGACTAGTCATTTGAATGCTCTGGCATACCACAACTTCTTCACAAGATTAAGGGTTCACTGCATCCTAATCCAACTTAACATTGTATATTTTTCCAAGAGATGGAATAACTTTATTTCACTTTTCAACCATGCAGTCAATAAAATAAAGCAAAACACAGCATAGTAGCATCAAACTAAAACTGACTCAATACAGATAGTCTTTGGGTTATTTGTGACCATGTATTTAATAACTGTTCAAAGTTAGAATGGCACTGAAAACTGGACTTATATCTGTCCTTGCACTTAGAACGATCATAGTAAACTTGTGATCAGAATTTGGGCACATGGCAACTAGCCCACACTTACAACCATCGCAGCGGTCTGCAGTTCCATTCTCTTGCCCTGCATGAACTGCCTCTGCTTCAAATCCCCTCATCAATCTTCCCAGCCCAATGGTTGCCTACCCCTGAACTATACAGAAAGTCCTTAACTTACCAGCTCAATTGGGACCGGAACTATACTGACACTAAGCAAGATGGTCGTTAAGTGAATTATACTTGGTTTTATCATCTTTTTGCCACAATCACTATGCAAATGACCATGGCCATTAAATTAATCACATTTGTCAGAAGCCCCTGGGAAGGTCACAAATGGCAATCATGTGACATTGGGATACTGCAACTGTTATAACTACAGGCCAGTGGCCAAGTGTCAGACTTCTGATCAATTGACAAAGGGACTCTGTGAAAGTCATAAGTACAAGGACTGGCCGTAAGTCTCTTTTTTTCAGTTCCATCATAATTTTGAATGGTTGTTAAATGGATGTTCATAGGTCAAGAACTATCTGTACATATTTTACATCTAGAGAGTCTTATGCCAGCCTTCCTTTCCAAGGACTAGATGCACCACACAGAATCCATGTATGTCCATATACACACTTCCAGAAATGAACGTGCATGACAATACTTGAAAAATAACATTTTCACATTACTGTGTCCAAAATTTAAAAGAAAAGGGAATTTACATTTATTATTACAATCTAGAAGTAACAATTACATAAAAATATTACTATACTGGCTATACTATACAAACATATGTTAACTTACCCTGAAATAGTCACTGCATGCTGCTAGTACAGCCTTGTGAGCAGGGAATTTCTGTTCTTCAGCAATTAGAGTTATATCACAGAGTATCCCATCATTTCTTTGTTGGTTCAGAGCTGCCAGGACAGCATCATTGTGAGAACTGGATTGGCAAAGTCTCTGACCAGTCAGCATATCTTGAATACTGCAAAAGATGAAACAGTAACTAGAACCATGAGGATCAAAATAAAGTCTATGAAATATACCCATGTGCTTTAAATTATCTGATTTTTTAATTACCATATACGTAATCTATTTATGTATGTATTTGTACAATATTTTTTCAGGGAAAAAAGTGCCTGAGAATTCCCTGTAAAATGAAATTGCACAGGAATTCAATATTATGGTTGGAGGGACAGTCAATCAGATGTTTAGATTGGATTTGATATTTCTGTCCACATATCAAGCCCTTCCCAAGGGCCTGGAATAGGGAAATGTTTTATTATTATTATATACACAACATGTGAAGTCACAGCTGCCGCTTCATTAGTTGGTGATGGCCTTCACACACATCATGTACTTCCCAAGAACCTAGGATGTCATAATTAATTGTTGCAATGAATGTGCAGGTCCAAGTATTGTAACCTTTTGTAATTGACAGATGTAAATTTTGTCAATGCACAGATTTTTTAGGTGCTGTAAAGAACTTTTTTTTTTAATTTGGCATCCACTGTGTCAATAACTACTGGGACCATCACGGTCTATTTATAACATAATATTTCCACTCAATTACTACTACTACTACTACTACTACTACTACTACTACTACTTCTGACAATTAAAAATAAAGTATTTTTAATTTTTTCCTATTTCTGCACAGAATCAACAGATCTGCAGTATTATGGTCTGTCAGAAATATTACCATAGTTCATTAGACAAAAGTAGATCTTATTCTTCTATACCAAATAAAGCTGTTCTAAACATCCACAATGTGCCCATACATAAATTATCATTACCAGGCTCAGATCAACTGAACTGCAATTCTTATGTTGCATAAGAATTGTACAGTGTCAACCAACAGCATGTTTGTGAGCAATTTTCCCCAATTTCCCTGAATATAAGTAATTAAATTGTCATTGCCACTAGAAATGGTAATACATACGGTACCATTCTTTCCAATAAAAATGTTCAACTTTATATAATGCACTTTTTGAGAGGGCAAAGTGGCAGAAAGTACTGAAATGTATTACTAAATATAGCGCTAGTTTCTTGAGATAATTTATGTATCACTACCAGTTCCTGTCAACACTTTTTGCTGCAACAAAAATAAACACACGCTAGAAAAAACATTTTAACAAATCACAAAGAATAATGTGCTACAGAATAAAGGGACAGTAACACTAGAAATGCATTTTGCATTTCTCAAGGTCGGCCATTCCTACGGTACTCTGATACTCTTTGGTCATGTTAGGTCTATACCTGTATCTCCCAGAATTCCCAGGCACTGTAGCCCTTAGGAATACTGAAGGAGGAAAACTATGCTGGTCCGTGGAAGCAAAAAATTAATCTGGTGACAGCTTTCCAACTTAAAAAAATCATTAGAAAGCATGTTTTTTTCATTAAATGCACCTCTGATAAAGTGAACTAAAGTTCACAAAAGTTTTCATGTTATATGTTTAAGCATAATAATAATTTATTAAAATTGCATGTCTAAAATTTCCCAAAAGTTTAAATCTAAGGCAATTCCTATAGTAAATCATTTGTTCTAGAATTTTGGACACATATTTAAACCTAAAGAAGTGCAGAATTCAAAATTCACATTTCATTTTTACCATGCATAATTAGAATCACATATGCAATATGTAAACAACACAAATAGTCCAACTAGCTGGGAAAATGATTTGTATTATTGTAAAAATATTGTTCACCTGAATCAAATTTGGAAGAGTGAAAATCTTATTATTCTTTCTACTTTAGCTTATATATGTTTTTAAAAATTAATTTTGAGGACTGATCTATAAGGATCACCACAATGCTATTCTCTTCCTTTTTCTCTCTCTCCAGGATTTACAAGTTCTTATTTTAGGCTGGAGTGCACAACATGTAAAAAAGCTGACAAAGTGAAAAGAGCAAACATTTTTTACATCAAGATTTTCTGTGAGAAAAGTTATCATGAAAATTCAAGGGAGCCTATCACATTACCAAACAAACCTTTGTTGACAGGGTAATTTTGATGGGATATGCATGTATCCAGATGGTGGTATTGTCATCCTTTAGTAGCTAACATAAACACATATACTGTAAAATGAAAATTGGCTGAGGCAGATACTGTGAACTATACCTGAGGCACACTTCAGATGGCATCTTTCAGCTTTACTGTTTGGAATCCTTTGCTTCTTAATAATTTACAAAAATGCACTACTACACATTCCAACTGAAAGGAAAGAAAAAAATAGGGTTAGAATTAAAATGACTTTCTGTTCTCTCCCTTGCAGAGAATACTGCAGTCACTACAAAAAGCAATATTTGGCTAAATATTCATGCCAAATAGTTAAAGCCAGTATCAATGCCCAATGGGAGATATTATCTGCCAATATTTAGTATCAAGTTACACATTTTGAAACTGCAAATTGAATATAAAAATTGGATGTAGAAATATAGAAAGTGGGTCTACTGTATTTATATATTTTCCACTTACCATATAGGTGTCTAGTAGTAAGTTAAAAGAATATGTTTTTCAAGACAAAACCCTGATCTCTAAGAACTGTTTTCTTCTCTTTAAAATCTAAAAAGCAAAACTAGTTTAGTATAGTATACAGTACGTATTTTGAGCCATATCTTCAATGCATCTTTTCTGCTGAAGCTCCCACAAACTATATACTTGCTTCCACTTGCTGTAAAAGCTATGAGGCATAACACGTTACGATGCTTACAGTACAACATTCAACTTCATGACTGATTCATTAAGAATATCCTACAAAGCAACAGATACAAAAATAAAAGTTTACTGTTTTTCTTCCTATATCAACCCCCCCAGTTCTTTGAATTTCATTAACTTCACCCCCATTCTATTTCCTCTTTAACCTTGTTATTTCAGCATGAAAAGTTCGAACAGCAGTGGAAATACAATTAAAGAGGTTTTTCATTGACTGATATTTTTACCCTATCTGCCAGGACAACAAGAATGTGTAATAGAACCAGGGCAGAATGATGCAAGTTTACCACTAATTGTTCCCCCATGACTCTTACTAATCAAAGTACACATCTGCACATGTTATTTTGAAGGTTTATTTCATGTGAAGGTAATGCAATTTTATTTTTGCACATTCCAGAACATATCACTTTCCGCATCAAAGAAAACATCATCTCTGGAAATTCCATGCACAGATTCAAGGCATAATTTAGCACTCATTTACTACACGGTAAAAAATCTTTCAAAATCTATCCTTTATCATCATCTTCGTCATGATGAACATAGTGAACATATTTTGTTAGCTCTATGAGCAATTATAGGAATGGAAACACACAAATGGTCATACGAATAGGATCACGTTGCCATAAATGCAGGAGATACAATTATCCAATTGTACTGACTCCAATTATTCTAGTACAACTCTTTATCAGAGCAAACTTACGTATTTTATTACAGTAGCTTTCATTTTTAAAAGTTAATCTTTCAATTCTTATATAGATGTAGCCCAATATTTTGATGGATTTACAAAGTCTCAAAAGTCTTTTATGTTAATAGCTGAATATGGAACAACATTTTAGATGATTCAAGGAAAATGGTATTTGAAGAAGATAGAAGACTCAAACTGAATAGAAATCAAACAATCTGTGGATAAAAAAACAACAGCTAAGAGCACTTGGCTGAAATTATCAGGGCTCAGAAATTAAACAGGGTCATACCTGGTAACTGGTAGGTTATACCAGGCTAGTAGGCTAACTGAGAAGTCTAGAAACATTCCCAAAGCAGAGAATGATGCAAATAGTCTAAACCAAGAATGCTTAAGTGAAGTATTCACCAGCAGGACTGAAGGAAACTTTATCTTAAGGTTAGATATACCATATGATAAGAGGCTCAGCAACTACTTAGCTGTTTTCAAAAATAATCTGAATTTATGTTAGATGTATCTGAAGGATGATGTACAAGTTCAATATAAGATAATACACAATTTCAGAGAGCAAATTATACTTTTGGTTTCATAGGGCAGTATTCAAACAGTATTCAAACTAAATTGCACCTTACGAGTGCAACTTATGCTGCTATTTGTAGTATACTAAAATATTTACTACAGGTATAGATCCCTCTCTGATTGGAGTCGGTAAAAAGGAGAGCAATGCTGCTATTATAGACTCCGCAAAGGAGGAGATCAATCTCTACCTTCTCCAGATAGGATTTTTAAAATTCCTGCTAGAAACTTTGGGAAACCTCTTCAACAAAGGCAGCCTTAAACTAGATCAGGGGTTCCCAACTGTGCGAGACGATATTCCAGGGGGTGCAAAAACTTGGGTTTAGAAGTTTCAAAATTATACTGTATGTGCATAATTCGTTGCCATTATTTCAAACTTTTGTAAGGGGTGCGAGAATATATCAGAAGTGTTCTAGAGGTGCTGGGTATAGAAAAGGTTGGGAACCGCTGAACTAGATGGATCAGAAGACTAACTTGATACAGTATCAAGAAGCTTGTATGACCTTGATTTTTCCCCCACAGAATTGGTTGTCTGGAAACATGGCTGCTCTATCCAATTATTCAATAATTTTACGGTTCTCCACCCATTACTCCATCAGCTTTAGATTTTATTGGTTAGAATATTCTACTAAAATATTATACAAGAAAGCAGAGAACATACATTTCTCTCTGAAAACCAGCTTTTTGCCCTACATGCTAGCTTTTTAAAAACCTGGGACATTCACAGAGAAAATATGTTTTATGTTCTCCTCTTTACCATTGGAAGCGTCACTTGAACCAGCAATTATTGCCTTAATAAATGTAGACATTGCTGAGTAGGAAATTTGATTCCAGCTGCTTTGATCTATTGCACAGCAGTGACCAACAATGACTTGGAAAAGGGATGCTGACTTGAAAAGCACATTCCACTCCAGGAAGAACATTATGACCAGATTAAAGCTACAATTCTATGAAATAAAAGCAGAACCCATGAAGCAATACATAAAAATTTCAAAGTTTCAAAATAATTTAGAGCTACAGTATATTAAGACTACGAAAATGTTTCTATTATTCGTGAAAGAAAGAAAAAATACATAATGCTAAAACATTGATTTTATTATTCTTTCTTTGAATTATGTTGTTCATTAAAGTAATACAGGACAAAATAATAGAGAAAACTAATTATCGAGGCTGGAAAGAAACTAATATGATACTAAAATAATTGCATTTTATTGTAAAGTGTATCAATCAGATTGGCTAGATTCATATGTCACAGCCTATAAAGCTTGTGATTTAATGTTATCTGAATCCCTTCTGTTTATTCTGGTTTATATATAGAGTTTATGGTTTACTGTTACACATATCAGCAAAGAGTTTATCTGCATTGATTCCATATGAAGCAGACCATAATGGAAAATGTTTCAGAGGTAATGAGGATATTAACTGTATTTGCAACTGTTAGGAATTCCTATAAAAACATGAGAAATTCCAGTATAATTTTCAGAAATACAGAAATATGTATAACAGATTACAGACGCAAATGGTTTTCAAATGTGGAAACAGCATTGGAAAGCAGGATCATTTCTGCATTCTTTTCTATGTAATGCTAAATAAATTCCTACCTTCTTAACTTTTAAATAACAGCTTTGATAGTAAAAAAATGGCTTTAGGAGGCAGCATTGGGGGGAACATTAGATTTTGCTATCTATCCTTGTTCATTAGTATGAGGCCAATTTGGAAATAAACCTCCATTTGGTTATCAATGACAGACACTCGCAGATACAGAATTTTATCATACACATTAGAAAACTATATTACATTACTTTTTAACATAATCACCATTCAAATTGAGGCACTTGTCATAATATCTTACAAGGTTTGAAATTCCTTAATAGTAGTCGCTCAGCGCCAAATCTTGGCTATAGGAGAGGTGATCAAAAACATCCCAACAGAACTAGATTTCGACAGGGAGAAGTGTGAATCAGGTATTACACATCAGTCATGCAAGAACAGAAAGGCATCCAAAAAGAGAAGCTACCTTCTGGTAGGTGATTCAATTATAAGGGGATTTAGGAAAGGACACAGAGGCTTTGAAAGAGGTCAGGTGTCTTCCAGGGGCTACTGCCGGTAGGGACAAGAAGCGTATTTCTAAAATAATCAAGAATGGCAGCAAGGACTGTGATGTGGAGGCTATCATACATCTTGGCATTAACGATCTGTCCCAGAAAGATGTACTCTCTGTGCAGAACGATTTCCAGAGCTTGGGGAAGGAACTTAGCAGAATATACTGTAGGCTTACTTTCTCAGAGGTTTTACCAGTGTACAAGGAGCAAAATGGAAAAGGCCAGCACATAGCACAATTCAATATGTGGCTAAAGGAGTGGTGTAAAGGGGAAGGCTTTGGATATATTAGTCACGATGTTTGTAGCTGGTTCAATGAAAAGATGTACAAAAGAGATGGTTTGCATCCATCAAAGAAAGGGACTGAGTTACTCGGCTATAAATTCACAGATTTCCTGGAGGAAAATTTAAACTAAACAGTGGGGACAGTGAGTTAATTGATACAGAACAACCCTGTCCCCGGCAATCTGAAAATTATGGGGCTATCAGTGCATGTAAGAATACCAACCTTGCTGTCAAGCAAAATCAAGCATCTAATAGTGAGTGCCACACAAAGTGCACTAATCAATTAGGTGGTAAGACAATAGGGAACTCAGGCACCACACAGGTTATATAGAAACCAAACACAGGGCTGGTCATAAAGGACTCAAATGTCTATACACCAATGCACAGAGTATGAATAGCAAACAGGGTGAACTAGAAATTCAGGTTAATGAGGGCAGATATGATATTGTTGCCATTACGGAAACATGGTGGGATGGAACCCACACATGGAACACACAGCTAGAGGGATTTAAATTATTTAAAAGAAACAGACCAAATAAAAGAGGAGGTAGAGTTACTCTCTATATAAGAAATAACTACATCTCTACATAAATAGAGCACAACAATGATAAAAACTGTCTTGAATGCATTTGGGTCAATATAAAAGGGAAAAAAAAATGACATTGCCATAGGTGTATACTACAGGCCCCCAGCCAAACAGAGGAAATAGATGAAATTTTTGCTAGTCAGCTAACTAAAGTGTGTAGGAAGCACATCCCAATAGTAATGGGGGACTTTAACTACCCTGACAACTGTGAGACAAACTCTGCACCAAGTGGAAGATCAAATAGGTTCCTGATAAACCTAGCAGACAACTTTGTCTCCCAAAAAGTAGAGAAGGGAACTAGGGGATTAGTCATTTTGGATCTAATTCTCACTAACAGAGATGAAATGATAGAAGGTGTTGAAGCCATAGGAACTCTGAGAGGAAGTGATCATGCAATTTTGGAATTCAACATTATGGAAGCACAAGCAATAGAACACAGTCAAACTAGAGTCTTGCACTTCAAGAGAGCTAATTTCAATAAACTTAGAGAGGGCTTGGGAAGGATTCCATGGATGAGAATCCTCAAGGGGAAAACAACTCAAGAAGCTTGGGAAATTTTGAAAAATGAGATAATAAAAGCCCAGTCTAGTACAATACCAATAAAGAGGAAAAATAACAGCT